CTCAGCATGAAGTTTCTCATGCCTGACACGTTAGCAGGTTCGTCGGTGTGGGTTCAATGGAAATATTTTGGCGGGCACAAGGCCTTGCTGCCATGGATGCCCTAGACCCTGAACCGATGAATTGCGCTTCACTCCCATAGTTTGCAGTTAAGACCACGACGAAAACTGATTCACTTTGCCCGCACCCCGAGGCGTAGACGGTTCAAACAGAGGAAGAGGGAAGATGCACTTCGTGCAAGAACCTCCGATGCCCATGCCTTGTTTTAATTCCCTTTGGCACGGAGTGTTGCAAACACTGTAGTCAGTCAGTCAGTAGTCGGAGGAGTATGTCCCGTAATCGCTTGGAAGCATGCACATCTACGGTGCATGCAGCTATTGTAGAGGATGTAAAGACCAGCTAATCTAGCAGGCCAGATGTAGAATCGGTACGCAAGACTGAAAGGGACTTTGAGTGGGGTGAAGTGCTTGAGGTCGCTTATGCCTGTGGGGTGGGACCCTCGTCCTGTTGCGCTCCTTTGGACCCGGCGAGGGGTGGGGATCTTTTTGGTGCTGTGACGGAGCTGCAAACCAATCATTAGGGGTTCAGAGTTTAGGGTTCGGGGCTTCCGTAAGAGGAGCGGTTCACATCCCTGGAGTTTGCTGTGTGGAAGAGACCAGCCTTTGCCAAAATCAACCGACGCTTGGCAACAGTGTCGGATTTTCCCGGCAGAGGTCACGTATTCAATGGCCAGCCAACATATGCCAAGTCCAGTGACGTGGTGCTTGCCTGTCCTCCCTTGGCCAGATGGCACGACCTACTTCTTCACGCACAGGGCATGCAATCGCCGCTCGCAGCCAAAGGGTCCGTTTGAGAGAAGAAAAGACTGTAGGGGTCCGTCCCAGTTTGTTGCTGATGTAGTTCCTGCCTGGCCAGGCATTGCACCGGAACAGGGCTGGGTAGATTGACAAACTGTTGATCTCTGCGTATCTTTGTAGTGGGTGGGTAGTTGTCCATTGGCTTTGCGTCGAAGGGTTAATGTATTAAAGAACCATGAGTAGCGGGAGCAGCAGTATAGTCCTGGAGCGTGCAGCCCGATCAGTATATAGACTCCCCTCATGCTTTGGTGACGAAACAGGGGGGTCGGAAGAATTTCCCATACTGTTCCATGGGGCTACTTAGGGCAAGTATAGACAACAATACCTTCAAACTCTCATTGATGCCTGTATATCGCGTGTCGTCCGTGCAAGGTTTAGGAGTCCGAGTATAGCGGCGGTTGTCATGGAACTGCTAATGCAAAGAGTGCCCCGTGGATGCTTGCCGTGAACACTAAACCAAGTACGGGCCGTGCTCCGACTGAGGTGACAGTAGAAGCCTGGGGCCTCTAGAGAGATGTTAATTGCTTTTAGGGTACTCGCACCATTCCGGGGTCTCTTAATCGGAAGTCCTCAGGTAGACCGGAACTCAGCACATTCACGGCCCTATGACCGCTATGAACTCCCAAGTGGAAGCCCTACGCATCCGGCAAACCTCATCCCACAACCCACTGACCTCCAAGACCCTAAACCCAAGACCCTTAGCCGTAGCCCTTCAACCTAAACCCTGGGCCATCTTTTTAAAGGAGGGTAGAGGGGCCGGGACTCCGAAGCCAAGGCGTCGGCTGCAGCGCTTGGTCGGAGGCCCCCCTCCGAGCTGAGATGCGATGTCTGCCTCCCTGGAGCGAGCCAGGGTTCAGAGGTTCGGGCTTCGGGGTTGCGGCTTCATGTCACAGTGTGGAGTTGAGGAAGTAGGATTGGTATGTTCAGGGAGAGTTCGGAAGCCCCAGGATACCCTAGGAATGACATGAGGAGAGTGTCAAACTGTAACTAGGGATGGCTTTCACGATCTTGGCTGAAGTGGCTTTGGGCTGCTGATCCGAAAGGACTCCGGCAATCTAGAAGCTACGAAGGTGTTTCCTTTCATGATGAGCCCTGTACTCCCTTTAAGCCCTGCGCTCTAGACTCTACGCCGCCGCGATGCAGGTCACCAAGTTCAGCACCAAGAACTCGAAACCGGCTCAGTTGACGGACCTGTGGGAAGAGTCGGAGCACTGAGCTGAGACGGGACAGTTCAGGAAGCTCCAACCCTCTGCGCTGTCGACAGAAGCTCAAGGGCATCATTCCTGGCGTCTCCTTGTATTTTAGTAAAGCGACAAGTACGTCATAACATAGTATTCCGACCACAGGAAATGAGGAAGCGCGGTGCTGCTGACTCGACTACAGAGGAACCACTGACCATGACTTAAGGGCATCTCTCCTCCGTCCCCTTTTATAGCCGGAGGGTTGTCTCATCTTGGCCCCGGTTCTGAGGTCAGGGGAAGTGGGGCTACCCATAGGCCCTTAAGTAGTTCCTTTTGGGCATTACCTTATAGGATTCTAAATATGAACCATAAAAAGGAACTACTTAGGGGCCGATGGGTACAGGATTTCCGCCTTGGGTGATATGCCCCCATCGGCAGTTTGGGCACCAGGGTCTTCCTTGAAAGCCCCGCTGTGCACTAAGATGTCACACTGTCCAACAACTCGCTCAGCCTTGGCCTTGTTTGCACTAAACTCCTGCACGGGTAGGTCATGTTACTGGTTCCCGACTATAATCTAATAATCTAGGAGCTCCGGCAAGATCGACATTCATGGAGTGCTGGTAAGTCTTCCACAGCGGGAGAATACGGGAATACATATATATATATACACACACATTATGTCTCTTGATAGGTAGCTAAACCCTAAGCCCATGGCACGAAGGGAGCGAGCGCGAGAGAGAGGGAGGGTAGCTGAACCATTGAAAGTTCACCTCTTCAACCCGGAAGCGCCCAGTTCGACCACGAGCCGGGAAGTGACGATTGCCTGGAACCCACCCGAAACCAACGGCGTGGAACTCATGCGCTACGTGGGGCCGGCAGAAGTTTGAAGGACATGAAATATTAGTTCTGTAACTTGGAAAGTAGGTCTAGGGCGTGGATTTCTGGAAACGGGAACCCAGTTGGCCCAGACAGAAGGGGATGATGGAACCTGGGCAATGTCTGTTTAGGTAGAGTCTGAGTTCGGCAGCTGCTGGCTGTTCATGGTGGTGTTCGAAGAATTGTTATGAGCCGGCTGTATACTGTTCGTACATGTTTAACGTGCGGTGTCTCATGACTCAACTTGTGGCTGCCATTCTGGTGAAGTCGTGTTGTCGTTTCTGGGTGCTGTTAGACTCTCTGTTCCCGGGGCTGGCAGGGGAGGGGTTTGCATTGGCTCTGGAATGTTATAGTGCTCATGTGCTGTGACTAGGACTGATAATTGGCGGTTCAGCGCTTCTTTGGCGTGAGAAGGTGGTACCCATTTCTTTCGTCACAATGACTGAGTAATCCTCGTAATCCTTGAAGGGTGAGTCAACCTTAAATGCAACAGCACGCGGACGCACACCTTAAAACTCAGCACGGCATAAACAAACCTAAGACTTAGACCAAGTGTAACACCGCAACCTCTAAAACCTTGAAGTGCCACAGACTCGCAACTTGCACTGCAGTTGCTGAAGAGCCGAGTGTCCAACCACCAACATGCCCTTCGCTACCCAGGCCCTAAACTCAGAGCCTAAAGTTCTATGCTGTACATCCCGATTCATTCTACACAACGGCCCCGATAAGCATCAAACGGGGTCCCTCTCTGCCTCCTGAGGGAGACGATGTAGTCTTCCTTCGCTGTGTCTGCGACTCCCAGCACCGGGTTTTGAGTTGATGTCAAGGGCGCGGCTCTGGAAGTCTGGCAAGTACTTCTGCGGAGACTTGCCTCAATGAGTTTCACTAAAACCGGAAGTACTATACTCTCAAAGCGGCAGCCATTATAACAGTCTCCCCTAAACCTCGAAACTCAAAAACCCCAACCCTAAACTTAAACCCTAAGGCTCTAAAGCCCTAAACCGAAACCCCAAAGCCTAAATCTCTCTAAACAAAACTAAAGCCGCAAGCTTGAATCCTATCCTTCATGACAGGATGTGGTCGGAGGACCCAATGGGCGGGTGATTCGATGGTGCCAGGCGTTGCCAAGTTGGGCTGTCTCGAGTTGTTTAAAGGTGGTTTAGACTGCTCCAGCTATAGGATTCTACGTGGCTCTATCGGGTTTACGATTTTCGGTAGTTAAGGGCTTTACAAGTCTGCGCTACTCCTGGTTAAGTGAGTGAGGGGACTTGTGTTATTAAGGGATGTGCACTTCGATCGAGAAGGATACGCTTCTGCCTCTGAGTGCCCTGGTTCCCAGGTCTTGATGCTTGTATAACATGATTTGTGTGCGGGACTTTGCAATGCATCCGGTTGATCATGTCTCTTTCGTGGGACATCATGCCATGCAAAGTGTGCGATTGTTGTCGTGCGACCCGTCTTGCCATTCGCAAGTAGCTCGTGCCATAGTACGTGCCTGTATACACACGCATCCTCGCTTGCCATCGCAGACCCCACAAAGCTCCATTGTAGAGTCATCTTCTCTATCTTGCTGTGCCGCAGTTCACAAGCCTCTTAATGGATGCAACTGTGGACGTGGACAAGCTCTATGGCCGTGGGCCCAGGTCGTTCTAGGCCACGGAGAGGATCAGTTCCGTCATGTAGGACCCATGTTCACCTGCTTACCATGTTCGACAGATGGTGTGCGGGCTCGGCGCAGTCCGTGCATGTCCAAGCCTGCACCTCTAACCGCAGCTCAGGCCCAAATCTGTGCAAGGGAACGCGCACACGCGCTATGCAGCCACCAGTATTCACGGGTGCGTACATCTCGACAGGCATAGACGAATTAATTTGCACACATGCAGGCATGCCTGTGTTCTTGGATGTGCGTGTTCATCGGGGTGTATACCACCTGCGACTTTAAGTTATAGTTTTCCCATGACTTGTCAGTTCCCATTCCAATCGACCTGCCTCGCAACCGCAGAGATACTGATAGTTGGACTGAAAAGACTGCATTGTCTACGACTGTAAGACTTTCGACTCAACAGCCAGCGTCGTCCAACACACCTCATGGCATTCTTCTCCTTCGATTCCTTTTCAACCAAGAAGATGCTTGGCAGCACGGCACATTGGCTGTCTTCTCGCATTTTCTGCTGGACGTGCTCCATCTATGATCGGGCCTGCTGTCTCTGTGGTCTTGCAGAGTAGCCGTCAGGCAAAAACCCGAGCCCCTTGCTTCCATCTTGCCCCGCCTTGACGCGGCGGGACAACGAAATGAGACCTCCGCCGAGGAAGCGGAAGAAGACCCCATCCGACTCCGAGTCCTCGGAAGAGCCGGCGCTGCTTGGACAGACCTGGTCAAGGATGCAAGGGTCCTTTGCATCGGACGCGAATGTTCTTACCCGCTTTTGAGCAGAGATACGGTAGATTGATTTAATTTGAGCGGCCGGAATTTGCCTCCCTGGCTTGGAATGCGAGAGTTGGGCGATTCTGCGAACAATGAGGCCGAAGAAGGCTGCCGCCCCGAAAGCTGGGAGCTCCCAGCCAACTCCTGGCGATCCTTATCTTCACACTGGTGAAGCATCACGGCACTGCTAAGGACACTTCTGCAAACGCGGCCTTCTGCAAGCCTTCGAAACTTTAGGAAAGACTAGAGTGACTAGAGGTGTCGGGTTACCGAGGCTATCCTTGTGGGCTGGAAGTAGTGATGATGACCATTGTAGTCATCATCATGCGGAGTTGAAGTGTGCCAAGGTTTCACAGAAAAGGTGCTGTACAGACGGCATTGGTGCCACCAGCAACAGTGCTGGAAATCTCGCATGCAGCAGAGCTTCCTTGCCTATCAGGCAGCATCCAAGCCAAGGACGCAACTACGGAAGAAGTCCTTTCCCTGACAGCCTCAGCTGGCCATCGCGTGCCTGGCCAGCAGTCAGGGTCAAACGCCTTCGGATCAAGGCGAGTTTGGGATTTCGGTTGGTTTCCTCTTTCTTGCTCTCTGTCTCTCTTTGTCTCTCTGTTTCTGTGACTGCATTGGCCTGCGCTTAGGAACGTACTGCGAACATAAGTGCATTAGTAGCTAAGTAGTCGTCGTCATCGACTTTACGTTGACTGCGAAAGCTAGGATTGCTGAGGGTGTGCTGAGGGTTCGAATCCAAAGCGTTAAAGACCTTAACTGCAAGCTTCTAGTGGTTCTAGCGTAGGAGTCTGAAGAATTACTGTTAGTACCCCGTCCTTATAATGTATGTCCACTACAATCCACCCCCTTGCCCTATTCTAGTGATTCAGGGCGTACTACAGTCGAGCCCTTGTGCCTGCACGGTGGGATTTCCGTTCGTTCAGGAGACGGTGGGTGAGCTTCTGGCGGCCTCTGAGGACAAATGTCTTGAGCACGAGAATGGTTCCAAGTGCAGAAGCACCCTTTGCCGTGCTCTTTACTAAGCTCATATATTCGTTTGGCAAAGGCTATGATGACGGTGGTAGTGATGCTGGTGGCTGGTGCCGTATATACTGTTGGTCATGCCAAAAGGCCGTGTACCTATACCTCGTATTTCTAGACGGGCGACGTCCAAGGTCTACCTTTCGACTATCACGACCCCAAACCTCAAGCCTCAACTGTGCGTTGAATGTCTGTCTCCGGTGTTCGGATGCCGTAATGTAGGTGGAGTAGTGGCCTGGTTCATATGTGCGTTTCGCGTGGAGGCTGTCAAGTTGAGCGTGGATGATGCGAGGGTTGGGCATTGCAATGGTCATCTTGCGGATAGATGTTCAGATCTCCGAGGCCTGAAACTCTGATTGATGCATGAAAGTTCAAGACCCAGGGTCTACGCCTGATCAGCTTCCAGGGCTATATGGTAACGGGGCTTCTGTTTAGTTGTGGCAGGCCTTTGTTGGCAGTCTGTATGGAAAGTTGTGTGCTGGCTGGAGGACTTGAAAACCACCGCTGAGCTGATTCGGCGGTATATCTTGGTCGTCCACCGGGCATGGAAGAGGGGACAGGGCACCCAAGGAGTGACACGTCTCCGGGAGTTCAAGGCTTTGGAGCCATGCAGTGACAGAGGAGATTGGGTTCATCTCAGGAGGGCAATGACTTCTATGAACGGGCCGACAAAGAAGATTCGGTAAGTCCCGGTAAGTCACGTCATGATTCTTGCATGCACACTGTTCTACAGTACTACGCTACATGTCTCTCACATTGTTTATGATGCAAAGTATTTCCTCCAACGGTTTTGACTTCCAGGCCTAACATCGCAGAAGACTTGAACTGCGATGTGTTGCTCGGAGCACCAGAACCTGAAGCCAGTGATCCCTCAAGCCCTCGCAGCTCAAGTCCGAAAGTTCCAAAGGCTCGGACATCCGTTCCACGAATTCTGTATGGCAGCCACGGGAAGCTACGAAGACCTTTACCAAGCCAACGTTTGCAGCAGACGGCCCATTGCGCCCCACCCCCCTTACTTGCGGGTAAAGGAAGCCCTAACTCCAAACACCAAGAGCCTCCCAAAAGCACAGGCTTAAGCACGAAGGCCGCCGAGACTGTTTAGTACCCAGCATGCCCGTCGACAGTGCCGGCTGTACCAAAGCCCAATGCAAACCTGAAGCCCAAAACCCGAAACCCCCCCAAATCCTAAACCCCGAAACCCTGAACAACTTCAACCAAAGGCCCTAAACCCAAGAATCCCCACACCTAAAACCCCTAAACCTTACACCCTATAAACCCTAGACCCCTGTATGGGGGTTTCCGAAAATATGGGACCCCTAATATAGTACCCTAAATAGTAGGATCCTTATTATAAGGACCCCTAAATAAGGTACCCCCAATTTTCGAAAAGTGCTGTATAAACCCCTTGTATGATCCCAACAGGAGTGCCAAAGGCCCCACACCCAAAACCCCTATAAACCTTACACCCTATAGACCCTAAACCCCCTAGTATATCCCAACAGGAGCTGCAGAAGCCGTGCCGGATCTCAGCTCCCTGCAGCCTCTGGTGGATTTGGCCTCAGCCAAGGCGATTGTTGGCGCTTTTTTGGGTTTTTGTTTGGCGGTTTTGGGGATTTTTATGTTTGGGGTTTTGGGGGATTTTTTGGCTTTGGTTATTAGGCGTTGTAGTAGAAGTGGGGTCTCGGGTTTCGGGTTGAGGGTAAAAGGAAACGAGCAGTTGCTGCCAGAAATCTTGTCATGTGTGGGCTGCTCGCCGTTAGATGTCAGGCTGTAAGGCCACCGGAGGACATGCAACATTAAGACATGGATGTCGAGCCCGGTCTTGCAATCCCTGCACGCAGCCAGTACTCTTACAGAAGTGGCCACCGAAGCCCGGACCTTGCAAGCAAGATAAGCCCTGAGCCGCAACAGCTCTACGACCCACATTTCCCGTCAACCCCAAGCCCACACCTGGCGAGGCCTTGGACGAAAAGGAGGAGGACGCCAAAGTTCAGTCCCAGCAAATAGGAAGGCTGACTTCAAATGAAGTGCCGAGTTCTCGTCACAGGCTCTAGAGTAAAGTATCTCACCTAGTCTCTACAATTCCGCACATAGTGCAACCCTTTTTCTGCCATCTGCTTGGAGCCCAATGCACAACAGAGAAACATGAGGACCACATGAGGAACTGCTGCCTGCAGTCGCTCCGTGGTGAGCACCTTCTTGCTCAAAAGAGCCACCGGGACTTGATTTGAAACGAGATACGGTAGAAGCCTAGATAACTGCCAATATTATTCCTGAGGGCTCCTTATTATAATTACACTACAACGGAGCCCAAAACCCTATCCACGCTATTCTAATTATTAAGGTCCCTACATTAGAGTTTCAGTCTCAAGCAAGGTTGGTGGGGTTTGGGGTTGGCGGATTGGACGGTGAAGGAAGCTAAAAAGCTGGGACTTGCAGTCTGGAGATGCTCAGCAGCAGTTGCTATCCTTCGAAAACCAAGGAGTCTGCAAAATCCGGGTTTCGCGTCGCCTTCAAAGCCCTCAAAGGCTCCAACTAAACCCGTGGAGCCCGGTCACCTCCGAAAACGTCGGCGTGGTTGGGTCGGATGTTCCCTCAAGAGTAGGTTAGACGGTTAGAGCATCCTTTCGAAACTGTGATGCTCTTTAGGTTTAGGACTTAACGGGTCTAGGGCTTTCTCTCGGGCTCCCTGGACTCTCCCAAATCGAACCCCGCTCGGGAACATGCTCAGCCGAGTCTTGCCAATGCAACCAAGCGCCCGCTGGAACTGCACAATGATCCCCAACCCCCCTGTCTAAGCCTCTCGGCATCAGAATTCTGCATAGGCTCCGGCATGATGTGGAGGCTGAGGTGGCTCTTGATTGATGCTTTCAGCATGATGTTTCGACTGTAAGTCTGCACTCGAGGCGGCCCTACCTCAAGTGAAAACAGGCAGTCTGAAAATGTAGACCCGGATCTAAGCCCTAATCCAACCCTCAACACCCTAAACCCTAGTTCCCAAACTTAGAGGTAGACGCTAAGCCAACAACCCTGTGGCAAAAAGCCTGAGGTATTATCTACATGATTCCTTGGGGCTGTCTGGATTATGATTATAGTAGTCTTACAGCGGAAGACACCCCCAAAACTCTAAAGTCATATATCATGTGCGAATCATGACGGCCCCACGGATATCTTCATCTCGAGGTTACTTGGATTTGATCCACGGCTCCAAGACCTGGGTCACGGGAGGCCAGTGCCGGGACAGCTCAGATCTGTCTTAGTCCCGTGAACAGCTGTGTATGAAGAGACTCTGGATGTAATCCATGTAACTATGTAACATATGGATTTCTGTAATGTATGTATGTATATACGTAGGTATGCATGCATGCATGCATGCATGTATGTATGTATGTATGTATGTATGCATTTGTGTATGCATTTATTCGTACATGTGTATGTGTACCTGTGCATGTATGCCTTGCGTGTTCCTGGCTGGAAGCTTGAGCTGAACGAACGTTGCCCTCAGGCGAGCGCAGTGCACCTTCCCAAACAACATAGATGCTTGCAAGGAAGAAGTCCAGGCTATGCATGTTATGGCAACACCTGCTCCCCACCCTGAACCTAAGACCCTACAACCTATGCTGTAACTAGACAGAACACCTTGAGCCACTTTGAGCCCACAAGCATAATTAGACCCGGAGCCCTCAAACCAACCCTAAAGCCCTGAACCCTGGACGCCCGAACCCCTAAACCCTAAACTCCAAAACCTGTTTGGAACTCACATAGTATCTCCGTCACAGCAAACCCGAAAGGAGCCCTTTACCCTGATCCCGAGGCCTCCTGTACATCTCGAGTGACGAGCCCAAGGGCAACGAGCGCATGTGGGGTCAAAAGTGGCGAAAGATCGAAGACAAGGAGGGGTTGGGGTTCGTCGGTTTTGAAACATTAGGAGGACTATCTCCGTTCAGTCCATATGTCATTCTGCCGGGATTGGGCTTTTGCTGGATTTCGTTCTGATTCAGGGGTTTGGGACGAGTGGAACAGCATCCCCCAAAAGTCATTGTATCTGGATACGATATTCCGCCCGAGCCCTGTTCCAGTTTCCATGGCCCCGACATCCAAGGTCTAAGAGTTTAGGGAGGAAGATAATTTGGGAGATGTGGAAATATCATCGCAGGATGGGGTTGACCTAGGCTTGTCTTGGAGGCTCTGGGGTTTCGGACTCTGGGTGTGTGTGCCTGTGCGGAAAGAAATGGGCCTTTGGGATTGAAAATGTAAGGAGCCTAGCTTTGCTGGCCTGCGCCCAAATGTTTTAGAGCCCTAATTAAGCAAATAAGTACGCAGAGCAGCACGTGCTGCATGTTACTGCCTCCAAGCAACTGGAGTCCTAGCCCGGGGTTTTGAGCTTCAGAGATTGGGCGGGCCTTGGGCCTTCGGTCGGAGCTCAAGAACGCTCTCATCCCAGGGATCATCCAGGTAACCGGTCTTATGTTTGGCGCTCAAGGGTGCTGTGTTACCAGACCTCAAGAACTCGACGACTCGCTTTTGTTTTCCGGATTTGCGGTCTCACGTCCAGAGCGAAGCAAAACAACGCAAACACAAGTTTCTGAGGCTAGGTGGACCACTCTTTGCAGGCTTGTTCGCTCCAGACAGTTGCCAAGCACAAGCTCACCTTGAGAAGGGGGGACCCTGGACTCACACATATTTCTTAAGTCATCTTCAAGCACCAGCACCCTCTCCGAAACCCGATGTTCTAGGGATAACGACTAGTCGCAGGGCTCCCTGCTGGACAATGCAGCCACGCAGAAAGCGCTTCAGAGTTTCAAGCGCCTCTTATCCTACAGAGAGAAGGCAAGAGCGGGTCATAGAACCGGCTTTAGAGACCTGTTTGAAGCCTGGGAGTCGTAAACCGACCTACAGCTCCAAGGTCTCCCGGTTTTGGTGTTCAGGCGTGAGGGCTCGGGCTCATAGCTGGAAATTTAAGGCTACGGGCTTTCGGAACCCCAGGAGGGCTAAGTCGGAAAAGCAGTAGGGGGCTTGTGAACCTCGAGACTCTGGGGCTTTACAGTTTCGATGTGGTGGGCGTCGAAGCCGGGGGGGTATCCAGTGCAGAAGCATCCGGGAACATTCCAGGGAACTCTGATCGATAGAGTGCCATTAGCACAGAGACCTAGACCTAGAATTCGGAGGGTGTTTAGCATCAGGTTTGCGTGGATATCTGTCGGTTCTTGGTTAGCAGACATGCGGAAAACAGGATTCAGCTACTGAAGCCCCTCGCAAGCTGCTCATCGGGTTGTGTCGCATTGCAGCCTATGCCGACCTAGCAATTCAACTCCAGGGAAGTGTACCGAGACATGTTCGTGACTGTTCCTCCCTGAACTGGCTGCCCGTGGCCGGATCAGACTTGTGTAAACCTGCTAGTCCTGGGGCGGGAGTTTCAAGAGCAGCCCTTTCGTCAGCTCAAGGACCTACAGGTTTGTCAGTGCAACTGCATCATTCGCGCCAATCCCATTCAGCATGAGCTCAAAGAAGTTCAGCCTCCCCGAGAAGAGCAACCCCAGGGCCCTCGGTAGTCTGAACCCCTGACCCCCCAGTTACCTACTATATAGGGCCTTAGGGGCTCTAGTACCCTATATAGTAGGTAACTGGGGGTTTAGGGTGTGGCTTCCAACATGAACTCCTTGAAAATGGGGCGTGAAAGCACTTGGAGGCTCATGGGACTTTGTAGCTACTTTTAACTAGGCTTATAAGATCTTATAAGCCTACTTAGAAGTCCTTTAAATGGCCTTATATAGGTTCCACGAAGTACAAGTAGGGTTATAAACCCAGTTACAAGTAGTTAGTTAGAAGTATACGTATTAAGATAAGTCCCATGAGCCTTTAAGCAGTTTCTCCGAAAGAAAAGTGCTCCCGCAGGGCGACCCAGCAGTTGGCTGGTGGAAAGTATAGGAAGCAGTAGCTTCCCAGACCCCTGGCAGGATCCACAAACAGATCCACCTTCAGCTCTTTGCACTCTATAACCCACGGGGAGGAGGCTATACAGAATTGGGGGCTCTACCTCTTAGATCCTTTCAGGGGTCTGGATTCGTGCCGCACGAGCAGCGGCGGATTACTACTGGAAACGCCTGCGCACCCGGGGTAACTTCACAAGTGGATTTGTACGCAAAGTCTAATAAGCCCTCATTGAACCTTATCCGCCGACCCCCGTCGGGGCGGCGCCCGTGAAGTCGCCAAGGGTTTTGCCGTTGTACACCGCCTCCCACAGCCCTCAGCGCTTCGCCCACACTGCC